GGTGCCCAGCCTAAGTTACACAGTTTCTCAGGACAGACCTCCACTCCCTACAGCTCCCACGAGCTCTGCTTCTAAGACCTGCCTCTCTGGTGGCACTGAGGTCTGTTCTCCCCACATGGCCCGGCACCCCCTCTCCACAGCTCAGTCCTGGCAGAACATCTCTGGCTTTCCTGGAGTGGCCACCCACCACTTCCCCACTGTCTGTCTCTCTCATCAGCCTCAGGGATGGGGCTGTGCTGGTCTCAGACCCCAAGAACTGAAGCTGGCCTGGCAGGCAGTGACTCCTGCTAGTGGGGGATACACGGCACCTCTGTGGGATGGGGTCTTGGGGTGGGAACAGAGACCAGGCTGAGGAGACGAGCATGGGGAGAGGGGACTTGAAGCTGTTGGATGTAGACATGGGGAGACAGACATGGCCTCACCCAGGGCCACTGTGTCAGTCAGAGCCAACATGCCTGCCCATCCTTGGGCCTGAGGTCAGGTTTTCCTGGCCACACCCTATCTCTGTCTCTTACAGTCAGATATCCCTTCTTTTTCCCGCAGCACCTTCAGGACACCTAGCTGGTATCCATCATCCTGGGACCAGGATGCACTAGGCAGGGCACTGTCACCTTTATGGAGCCCCATGCCCTGAGGCCACACCATTCTCCCCTGTGTCTGTGCCCCACAATCACCTCAGCCTAGGATGCTGGACTAGTAGCTCGGGATCTCCAGATCTGCCCACAGCTGAGTGCCCTGGGTACATCCCCCCCCCCTTGAAGCCCAAGAACAGAGTGGGCTAGGAGAACCCCAGGCCTTCAAGCTCCCATCTGCTTTTGCAGTAGAGGCCCGAGTCCCTCCCTCCCTTTGCTGACTCAGCCCTGGAGCAGGCAGCACCGCCAGACCTCAGTTATGTCCTCAAAGGCTGCCTGGCCCCAGACAGTGCTGGAGCATGGCTGAGCCAGGCAGAGGGGAGGCCACAGCTCCCACTCCCTCTTCCTGCCTGAGGGTTTCTGTAGACATGAACCCCCAAAGGGCCAGGTCAGCATTGTGAGGATCCCGTGCAGAACACAGGTACACAGGGCAACCCTCCTCCCAAGACAGCTACGGCAGACCTAGGAACCCGAGTCAGAAAGTCAAGGCAAAACAGGCACAAAAGCTCCTTCTTGTAGGGCCAGGGTCTGGAGGACAGGGAGTTTTCAATCTGGGCTTTCAAGGGTGAATAGTTTTCCAGACTGGACTCAGAAGTCTTGACTTCAGTTTTCCTTTTGTTTGTGAGGGTCTCAAGCACAGGAGTCGGGGCAGAGGTGAACTCTGAGCCATGGCTTTGTCTCTGCCCCCGGGAGCGTCAAGTTTGGAGCATGAGGCAAAGCCGTGCTCAGCAGAAACTCTAGGGGTACACAGCTGTGACCTCACTTCTCAGGGTGGCACTCATTGGGTTAGACTTTGCCAACATTTGAACATAAGATGTTCACGGCACGCCTGACGTCAACTGGGACAGGGTTTTGTATATAGCTAGATTGTCCTGGAGCTTGAGAGACCCCTGCTTCAACATCACTGCTGTGGGATTGAAGATGAGATTGAGGCTGGGACAGCCAGGACACAGAAACGGGTCTCACAGACATGTGGGCTCAGCAGTAGCTCGCACCCCATCCCAAAATGACTCTAAAGTTTAAAAGCCAAGCCCAGCACTTGAGAGGCAGAGGCAGAAGGATCAGGAATTCTCTATCATCCTCAGCTATTGTAGTGAGTTTGAAGCCAGTCAGAGCTGCATAGAGGGACCCAGTCTCCAAATCAAAGCAACAAAGAGAAGGAATAACAGCTGAGTAGCTCCAACAAGGGCTTCTCTTGAGAGGAGAGCCTGCCTCAGGCTGGGCAGCCAGACCTTCTGGGAGGCCCCGGCCCCAGCTCTGGCCTGGCCCTGCTACTGTCTGGCCGGCTGAACACAAACACAAAGTGGCTAGTCCTACGGAATCTAGGTTGTGGTCAGGCTGTGGCTGAAGAAGCTCTTGGAAAAATACGAGGCCCACGCGGCCAGGCCCAGTGGCTGCCTGGCGGGGCACTGAGGAATGTCGCTGGCAGGCCACCTGCTGCAGGGCAGGGCAGCGGCGGCAGGCCTGCGGGTCTGGGAGAACAGGATGCAGCAGCCGACCCTCGCCCCTGCCCCATCTGCTTGCATGGCTCTGCTTTGTGGCCCGAGTCCCCTTTCCTCAGAAAGTGCTGGCTTGCTGACCCTAGGGCAGGAAGGGCAGTTCCACCTCCTTGCTTCCATCCTCCTCTCCAACACCTGAGTCTCTGCTAGTTCTCAGCCCCTTCGGGCTCGGCCCAACAGTCATGCTTTACAGTTATCTGTGTGTTGGATACTGAAACCATTTTCCTGGCTTCCGCTCACTGGCCTCTCCAGGAAGGCTGTTCCTGTGACCTCCCCACCTCACAGATAGGGAAACTGAGGCTCAAAGGGTTTCCTTCCAGTCTTGAGATTATTCCTGGAGTCTGGCGACAGGATTTCGTTTTTGGGTTGACTCCTCCCCCTTGTGGCTAAAGACATAACTGCAGCCTAAGCCTGTGAGGTCCCCATGGCCTCTGCTGCTTGCTCACCAAGGCTCCCCCACACTCCCTTCAGCCACAGCAGGGGGTTTGAATGCATTCACGATGGTCATCATGGAAATTCTTTGTTTGTTTGTTTGCTTTTCGAGACAGGGTTTCTCTGTAGCTTTGAAGCCTGTCCTGGAACTAGCTCTTGTAGACCAGGCTGGCCTTGAGCTCATAGAGATACGCCTGCCTCTGCCTCCCGAGTGCTGGGATTAAAGGCGCGTGCCCCCACCGCCGGCCATAATAGAAATTCTTGAAGGTAAAACCTACCCTCTCCAGTAAGCTGCAGGCCCTCTCCCTACTCATTCTTGCTGTCTGAGTTTCCCTAGCAGCACTAAGCACTATTAGAGAGACCCTTGCCTCTTCAGGTCTCTGCCTAGATCCCCCAGTGAAGAGCTGGAGGCATGCCAAAAAATTTGGTAGAGGAAGAGAGATGGGGACCCCTGAACTTTGGCCCTTCCTGTTTATTATCACCCCAAAACAACCTGAGGCTTGGGAGTATAGGTCAGAGGTTTTACCTGAGGGGATCCTCTGGGGAGGTCCGACCATGCTTGGAGAATTGAGAGGTGATAGGTGAGCTGCTGTCCTACCTCCATCCACCAGAGGGCGCTCTGACTACAGCCTGGAAGCCTGGCGACCACAAGGTCTGTGCAACCTGAGGAGGTCCCTGATTGGATTTCAGAGGGATGCAGTTCTTCGTTCACATTTAGAGTATTTGCTATATTTGCTAAGCAGCTCACTTCTCCCTCTTCTGCGATATTGCATATAATTTGCATGATTCACCTAATTTGTATTAGATTTGCATCGTTTGCATGGCTCTTCTCAGATCTCCCTTCCTTGAGCCAGTTTTCCTGAGGAATTCTATCTCACTCAGTTCTCCATTCAGAGGCCAAGAAAACTTATGATCGGCAGGGCTCACAGGGACTGTGGTACAGCATGAGCAGTAAAAACAGAGACAGACATCGGGGCTCAACCTCAAGGTTAGAAAAGCAAAGCAGTCAGCCACTGGCTCTGATCTCTACCTCAGTCTGAAATGGCGATCCTGCCTCCAGGGATCTCAGAATGAGACTGTCTGAGAGCTGTCTACTCCTGTCTTACATTTCTCTCTAGGACTGGGATTAAAGGGTTGTGTCACCGCTGCCTGGTCTGTAAGGCTGACCAGTGGGGCTGTTTTACTCTCTGCTCCTCAGGCAGTCTTTCTTTATTAAAACACAAATGAACTATCTATCAAAACATCGTGGAGCTTCAAATGGAGGACTGTCCATAGCTCCAGAGTGATGTTGACTCTCGCCAGGCTTCTGGGAAGGCAACACTCTTTACCACCTATTCGTGTGCCTCACCTCACCCAGAGAAGCTTCCAGAATCTGGGTTTTCTCCATGCAGCCTGAGAGTGGCTGGGAAGGTACTCAGTACAAGGCTGTGCACCAAAGGTATGGAGGGTGGCAGTGACCGTGGCCTTCAGGGTGGCAGTGACCGTGGCCTTCAGGGTGGTGGTGACCGTGGCCTTCAGGGTGGCGGTGACCATGGCCTTCAGGCCCTGCACCTAAGCTGGGTCTCTGTCTTGAAAAGCACCTTCCTCAATGACATATTACTCAGCCGTGAAAAAGAGTGAGGCTTTGGGAAATGGAAGGATGGATCAGTGGTTAAGGACACTGGCTGCAGCCAGGTGGGCAGTGGCACACACACCTTTAATCCCACTTTCCAGAGGCAGAGGAAGAAAAATCTTTGAGTTCGAGGCCAGCCTGGTCTACAGAGCGACCTCTAGGACAGCCAGGGTTACACAGAGAAACCCAGTCTGGAAGCCACCCCCCACACACACCATAAAAAATGAATCTCTGATCCATTCTATAATGCAGCAAAACCTAAAATATACCCGTGATGGGAGCTAGAGAGAGGGCACGTGGGGCGGCTCCACCAACACCAACGCTGAATCCAGATGAGTGACTACGAGGGGCTGGGGAGTGAGCTGGGTCAATCACTGTGGAGAGTGAGAGTGGCCATCCTCCGTCCTCAGGATCAATAGAGCACAGCACATGGGCAGGTAGTGGCAGAATGCAGCTGGCTAGGTCCCAGAGATAAAGATGGTCCCCATTTGTCATGGGGTCCTCCTAGGATGTAGACAAAAGAGGCACTTGGTCACTGTTGTGAGGGTGGGGTCAGGGACACAGGGACACTGGTCGGCAAGGGACAGGCCAGATGAAGGCTGTGAGAAGGGACAAGGAAGGCTTCAGAGGGCAGAGGGCCATGGTCAGAAGCTCAGCACCCCAACATCTTTTTAGCAGAAACAAACAAATACAAACCAGCTCTGACTGGAGCAGGGACCATGCCACTGCACCCAGGAAGTGTTAGAGTTGGTGATGGCATCAAGGTTGTCACCTGTCACCTAGACAAGCCCAGATTAAAAACACTGGAAGTCAAAATGCAGACAAGTCAAAAACTTTAATGGGGTGGCTTGGAAGGAAGCCTGAGACGAATGATCCACAACAAACCAACAAATTGTTGGTTAAAATAATTGTGCCAAGGTGGGTAGGTGAGTAGCCAGGCCAAGGGTATCGCCACAGCCAGGGCATCTGAGGTCATTGGCAGGATACAGGGCCAGTCACTCATGGCACTCAACCAGGGTCTCCAAACTTAATCAGACACACCAGAATCTCCAGCAGGTGGTGAGGCTGGCTGTGGAGTGGTGGCCCTCTGCCAGCTGCCGTGGGCCTGGAAAGGAAGCGTGAGAGTGAGAACACGTGACATCCTAGTCCTTGATCCCCAAAGACACTTACAACTTCTTACCACACGAGTTCCAGAAAGAGCTGGGCACTGAGCCCCTACCCCTCCATGAAATGCCTCAAGGGATGTCAGAACCAAGAGTCTAGCCACAGTGACCTCTGACAGAGCCATGGCTCATGGGTGACCAGAGGCCTTCCTCACAGTGGAGCTTATCTGTCTGAGGACAGCTGGATAGGTGTGCTGAGCTAGGGACACCGTCCTCACACACAGTATCAAGCAGAGCAGGTGTGGCAGGCATGTGCTGAAAGCAGTAGGGAATGGACAGAGACCATGCTGCTAGAGTGACCTCTAAGAGGAGCCAAGTGAACAGGGGGAAGTGTTGACTTGGGGCTGACATGATGGTGTATTACTTTAATCTCAGCCTTCAGGGGGAAGAGTCAGGAGGACCTCTGTGAACTTGAGAATATCCTGGTCTACATAGTGAGTTTCAGGAAGTCAGGGTTATGGAGAGACCCTGTCTCAAACAAACAAACAAAGGATCTGCCTGGATCATATTTTAGCTGAAAATTAAAGGAGGATCTGTGGGAGTCCCCTGTGTACTGTGAATAAAGAAACTGCCTTGGCCTGTTGACAGGGCAGAACTTAGATAGGCGGGGAGAACTAAACTGAATGCTGGGAGGAAGGAGGTGGAGTCAAGGAGAAGCCATGGAGCCCCATTGGACACCGACGCCAGAACTTTACCTGGTAAACCACAGCCTCGTGACAATACACAGATTACTAGAAATGGGTTAAATTAAGATATAAGAGTTAGCCAATAAGAAGCTAGAGCTAATGGGCCAAGCAGTGATTTAATTAATAGTTTTCTGTGTGATTATTTCGGTTCTGGGCAGCGGGAACCAGCAAGCGGCTCTCTCCTCCAAATCGGCGCCAATGTGGCAAACTAAAATCCACTTAAAAACCTAAGCGAGCTTGAAAAGGAATTCTAGGCACAAAAATACAGAGTTTAACACTGCTTCCTGCTGTTTGCTGGTGGTGTGCCATGGCTCCTTTAAGAGCGGTTTTCCTGATTCAATGGAAGCAGAAAAAAAGCCATTTTAAAATGACAGCTTTCTGGGTAGTGCTGCCAGCGTGGACTCTCCCTCTTTCTGGAGGTCCGGCTACAGAACATTTGACTGGGGTCTGTGAACAGACTGCTACAACTTGCTTAATGGCAACACAGACTGGCTGTGGGGCTATGAGCATGGCCCTCAGAGGCAACAAACAGCTCCACAGAGCTGGACTGGGTAGGGCAAGCAGGTGGTGCCATATTTTCCCTAGCAATGCAGCAGCTTAAGTTCATAAGAAGGGCTTAGCATTTTAAGAAGCGCTCCTGGACAGAATTACAGATACACAATAGGACAGATTCAGACATAAAAGACCTCTAAATGGGTCACAGTGTTGGATGAGTGTACATAGGCTTGGGAGAGAGAAATAAAAGAGTACAGAGAATTATAAAAAGAAGTAAATGGTTTTTTTTAAAAATAAAATAGTCTTTAAAGAGAGAGAGTACAGACAGTCATAGATTAAAGGAACAAAGATAAAAAAATATTAACTTGTAGAAAAAGTAAGAGTAAAAACAAGCCATATAAAGATGGAAAATTCACAGAGTCTGGATTATGTATTGTGTTATCTTTGACTTTTTTGACTGCAGAGAGATATTTGATTCTGGAGACTGCTAAGCTAAGCTAACATATATATTTCAAAGGTATTTTGAATTCAAAATTTGAGTCTAAGGATATGTGCTTTGGAAAAGAGGGCCGGTTTTCTTTTGTTTCCACAGAGGATGAGAACCCATGCATTGCTTCCAGACTAATATGGTTTGATGGACCAAGACTCCCTGAAAGGTCGCCATGAACACCCTAAAAAAATCATTTTGCCCAATAAAGAGCAGGGAGCAGTTTGGAGAAAACTACACCTATATTCCCAAATATTGTTTATAAATGTTTATTTACATTTAAAGAAGGATATGCTATAGAGATTTGCATTGGTATGGATCTTAGTTTATTGATACAAATTTAAGGTCAATTTTGTTATACTGTGTATATGTATTTCTGATTTTGATTAAGGTATTGTGTTTGTACAGCTTATTTAAAAAAATAATGTATAAGAAATAAGGTCAAGAGCCATCTGTAATAGTCAAGCTGGTGGTCATGTTAGTCAGATTTTCTAGATGTACAGCGATGTATTTCAGATAGATATTCTTCAAACCTTTCAAAGACTACAGAATATGGCATTTAAAATATTTAAGAATTTAGGACACATATGCTCCTGGCAGCACCAGTTACTTTAAGAGGAAGATGGACATCAAAGAGGCTCCTTATGGAGTTTGCTAGCCATTCGGGCAAGAAACTTCTCTTGCCTGGGCTACTTGATGAACTGGACTTGCAGGACCTGCAGAGAAATGACTGCTGAATTTGCCTAAAGATGAGGTGATCCTTTGGGGTTCCTGCTTCATGAATGAGTCTGCAAGACATTCTGCAGGACACAGAAGAAAGCAACTGGTGGACTTTGCCATTGCAAGGCAGAAGAGATCTTCAAATTTCCTGCTTCATGGATGGTATGGATACTATTGACTTGTAGGCTGAAGATAGATGCCCCAATGGTACAGAAGAACTTTGGGTGACTGTCCAGGCAGCAAGATGTCTCTGTCAATTCTAGAGTTTTGGAAGCTGCTTACAATGTACTTCCTGTTTACTTAGGTAATATTATATCCTTCTGGAGTCTTTGATGGAGTTGAAGAATTTATAGTTATAGTTACAGGTTTCCTTAGTTATTATAAAAGATAAAGTAGATATGTAATTTTACTATGTTAAAGTTAAAACCTTTTTTATTTAAACAGAAAAGGGGAGGTGATGTGGGAGTCCCCTCTGTATGCTGTGATTACCATTAATGAATAAAGAAACTGCCTTGGCCTGTTGATAGGGCAGAACTTAGATAGGCAGAGAAAACTAAACCGAATGCTGGAAGAAAGGAGGTAGAGTCAAGGAGAAGCCATGTAGCCCCACTGGACACCGACGCCAGAACTTTACCCAGTAAACCACAGCCTCGTGACAATACACAGATTACTAGAAATGGGTTAAATTAATATAAGAGTTAGCCAATAAGAAGCTAGAGCTAATAGGCCAAGCAGTGATTTAAATAATATAGTTTCTGTGTGATTATTTCAGGTCTGAGCTACCTACCAAGCTGCCGGGAACCAACAAGTGGCCTCCCTCCAACAAGGCTCAGGTGGGATGCTCCACTCAGTGGTATGATTGACAACAGGTGTGCTGGTTCAGGGCAGGGCAGGTTATTGTCTCGCTCCAATTCCTCCCTCACCCCTGCCGGCCAGTTCTGTTGAGGAGCACCTTAGCTCCAGGTATGTAAGCAGGCCCAGACTGCTTTGTAGCCTGCAGCTTGTGTTAGGCTGGGACTCATGGTGGTGGCAGGCAGGGCCAGAGTCAGCCAGGCCTACCACTGTCCTGAGTTCCAGGGTTGGTTCTGAGGGGTCTTCTGGGAAGCCCCCGGGACTCATGGGGCCATGGCCAGTACCACCACGCCAGGCTTCACTCTGCTTATGTGGTGCCCTCACAAGTCCTTGAGGGGAGGCTTCAGCCAGACCCTCAGAACAGACTGGGAGGTTACAGGACCTAAAAAGGACTCGGGTGACACTCTGAGACAAAGCTCTTGAGGCTCTTGACTGTCTAGACCCCAGTTACCAAACCACAGCCTGGCAGATGCTGCCCTTCCAGGGTGAAACACCCCCCACCCCCGGTCTCCAGTCCCTAGTGACAGGTAGGTCTAAGTCCAGATGTTAAATGACCCCACTTTTCCTTGGGGTCTTCTTTCTGAGAGAGGCATCAGGGTTCTTCTACTTCCTCAAAGCCCCAGAGGGGTCCGCGGGTGGCTGCAGCTGACTCACCGGGGGCTGGAGGTAGACTCCCCCAGGTGGGGGCTGAAGGAAGGCCAGGCTCTGCAGGGTGAGAACCATGTCACCTCCACTGGTCAGGGGAAAGGGGCCACAGGAACCTGTGAGAAGTAGGTGGAGTCAGGCCAGCGTGGTGGGGTGGGGGATGATGGGGTGGGGCTGGGGTGGGAATCACAGTAGATGGGCCAGCAGTCACAGGGATTTCTGGGTGGCAATTGCTCAGGCCCTCATCACAAAAGAGTCTAGATCTGACTCCCTGGAGCATCTAACTGCCTGCTCATCCCCCAGGCCTGTGTGGGTGACAGTGGCCCTAGAGGTTAAGAGGATGCTCTTGTAAGAGCGCTTACAGAAAAGAGAGCTTACAGTCGAGGAGGGCCATGGCCTTGTCACCTGGGCTGGGCTGTCCCCCTGGGCCCCGGGCCCTGGTGGCTGTGGATGTTTTCTCAGTGTACATGGTGGCCTCTTCCTGAAACTTCCCTGTGTTCTTTTTGTACCGGATTCTTTTGTTGCCAAACCAGTTAGAGACCTGGGGATAAATAATGGATGCTGTCCTGGGGTGGGCCATGCTTGCTGGGTGTTGGTGGTGGCTGTGGTGGTTGCACACACCTTTAATACCAGCCCTTGGGAGGCAGAGACAGGGAGTTCAAGGCCAGCTTGGTCTACAGAACAAGTTCTAGAACAGCCAGGACTACACAGAGAAACCTTGTCTCAAAAAGCCAAAACCATACCAAAACAACAACAACAAACAAACAAACAAAAAGAAGTTGGGGGCTGGCGAGAAGGCTTACTAGGTAAAGGTGCTTGCTGCCTTAGTTCAACTGAACCTTAGTTCAATTCCTAGGACCCACATGGAGAAAGGAGAGAAACAACTGCAAAAGTTGTCATCCTGCAGTGATAGGCACAAGAATTACCGCATGGGGTACACATACACACACACAGTTAAAGAAATAAATACATAAATATAAAAATAATAACTATCACTACAATAAAAGACACTCAGTTTGATGTCTCACACTTGTAATCCTAGAGTGGGGAGGCTGAAGCAGGAGGATTACTGTGAATTCGAGGCCATACTGGGCAACATAATGAGTTCCAGGTCAGGCTGAGCTAGAGTGAGATCTGGTTCAAAACCAAAATCTAACCTAACTTAACAAAACAGGAAAGAGGCCCCGAATAACTGCAGTTTCCAGAACAGCATAGCTCCCTGTTCTGAAAGGAGGGTGACCATCTTACTCACAGGCTTGGACGGTACTAGGCTACATCTCATGCTTACTGCTTTTTCTTTGTAAGATTATTTCATATTTTATGAACATGCGTGCTTTGCCTGAGTGTGTGTATATGTATATGTATACCATGTGCATGTCTGGTGCCCTAGAGGAGGGAAGAGGGCATTGGTTATCCTGGGACTGGACTCAGATGGTGTGAACTGCATGGTGCTGAGATCTTCCTAGTGCTCTTGAAACTGACCAGCTCTCCAACTCACTTCAAAACTACTTTCTCCTCCTCCCATCTCCTTCTTTCTTCTTTCATTCATTCCTCTTCTTCCTCCTCTTCTTTTTCTAGACAGGGTCTCTCTGTGTAGCCTTGGCTGTCCTGGAACTCACTCTTGTAGACCAGGCTGACCTCGAAATCACAGAGATCCACCTGCTTCTGCCTCCCGAATGCTGGGACCAAAGGGCTGTACCAACAGTCCCAGCCCCAAATTTCCTTTTGGAGACAAGGCTCTGTGTCGCTCAGCTCCACTGGGTCCCTGGGTGCAGTGACCTTCCTGCACAGCTGGGACACAGGCTATTTCCTGTACGCAGCTTAGACAGGAGTGGAGTCTCAGTCTGGATGAGTCAGGGGTTTCAGACACTGCTAAGTGGGAACGAAAGGCTTCCAACAGGGAGACCCCATCTCCCTGGAGGAGCAGCTGTGAAATCAGTTCTAGGGGTTCCATTTGAAGACTCACCCCTACCCTCAGCTCAGCTCCTTTGTCCATCTCCCCTTGGGTTTCCTTAGCTTGAGGTGATCCTGTCTTGAAGACATCCCTGACATCAATAGAAAACGCTTCCTGCCCTAAAAGTCTCTTCTTCCTCCTGACTTCTGAGGCACACCACACCACATAACCTGCACCCCAAATTCAGAACCTCAACTCACCCCAACTCACCTGCACCCCAAATTCAGAACCTCACTTCAACTAATGGCAGGCCACTTTAGTGGGTCCTAATATCTCATGGGTTTGACAAAGTGGGGTGGAGCTTCTAGCATACAACTGTTGTTCTGGGCACTCCTTAGGGCCCATGTCATCCAAAAGGAGAGCCCCTGAAACGTGATAAGGCCTTTAAAACCTGTTACTCTGCTCCCTGGAGGGCACAGGGAGCACAGGGGTGAGGGGTAGGGTTGGGGTGAATCTGCCTGCTTCTCACACTGTCTGTGGTGTTTGAATAGGAATGGTCCACACACTTCTGTGTTTGAGTGCTGGGCCCACAGGGAGTGACATTATTAGGTCACTTGGAGGAAGCGTGTTATTGTGGGTGGTTTTGAGGTCTCAGATGCTCAAGCTAGGCCTAGTGTGACATTCACGTCTGCTACCTCCATCTCCAGCACCATGTCTGCATGCTGTCGCCCTTCCCACCATGATAACTGAAATAGACACATCCTCTAAACTGTAAGCAGCCCCAGGAAAAAGTTCTCTCTTAGAGAAGTTGCAGCAGCCGTGGTGCCTCTTCACAGCAGTGAGCGGTGCTGGTCTACTACAATGTCCCTGCTGCCCAAGCAGTAAGCCAGGCTTACACGTCAAGCAGAGGCTCTGGTCTTGCTCTGAGGACACTACAGCAGCCCCATTAAAAACAGTTGTGCCTGGATCCTCTGCGTGACCCTGGGCCACTGGCACAGAGACTTGAGCAGCCTGGGTTAAGGGCTGAGGATGATACCTAAGGGGGTACACAACCTTTCCAATGGTGAAGCAAGGAGAACCAGGGCATGTCCGAGGGCTGTGGTGATGAATGTGCCAATGGCCTTTGTTCCTGGCGTGACAGAGACAGGGTAGCTGTGCCTGTGTGGCCTGTGGCCTTGCCAGACCTGCCTCTGCAGTCATACTGCCTACACTGCCTGCCTGCTGCCTAAGCTCACCCGCAAGGCTTCAGGAATGTTCTCTCGGCATGCTGGCCTTTGCTCATGCTCTCCTTTGCCTCCAATTCCAAGAAAGACAATGGTGGTCAAGTGCCAAGCCACAGAGTCAGGAATCTCACTCCACCACACAACCCAAGGAAACTCACACCATACATCGCTCCTGCAGCAAGCACATGGCTCTATAGAGCCTCGAACTCATACCAGCACCAGAGACTCCACATCTTGCCATGGTGCTCTCATATCTTCCTCCCAGGAGAGAGAGCAGGGTCCCCACCAATGTTCTAATTCTCAGTGCAAGCCATGCCAGGCTGACACACATGGCCAGTGCCACACATTATGTAACTTCTCTGAGTCCTCTCACACATTAGGTAACTTCCCCAAGGAGTGCTCCCACACATTAGGTAACTTCCTCAGGAGTCCTCCCCCCATATTAAATAATGTCCCCAGGAGTCCTCCCTCGACTTAGGTAATGTCATCTAAAGTCTTCCTCATAAGACTTATCTTCTTCCAGGGGCAGGAAGGCTCACCTGGGACACCGTGATACCGCCCTTCCTGGCCAGTTCTTCTTTGGTCTCTTCGCTGGGGTAAGGGTTGCTCAAATGGGAGTAGAAATATTCATTCAGCACTTCAGTGGCCTGCTTGCTGAAGTTCCGCCGCTTTCGCCTGCAGATAGAGAGCCTCCTTCTGCGGTGTTCGCCATGGCCCTCACATCCATATCTCCTGGCAGTCTATGTGTGTGTGCACGTGCACGTGCGTGCGTGTGTGAAGGCCGAGGTTGATGTTCTGTGGTCCTGTGTGTGTGTGTGCGTGTGAAGGCCGAGGTTGATGTCCTGTGGTCCTGTGTGTGTGTGCACGTGCGTGTGTGTGTGTGTGCGTGTGAAGGCCGAGGTTGATGTCCTGTGCCTCCTCTGTCACTCTCCACTAGTCTCTCACTGAACCTGGAACTCACTGATCTGGCTGGACTGGCGGATCAGCAAGCCCCAGGGATTCACCATCTCCACATTTTCAGTGCCTAGCTGCAGCAGCTTTATTAGTATATGTGTGTGTGCCTGTGTATGTGTGTCTGTCTGTGTGTCTGTGTATGTGTGTCTGTGTATGTGTGCCTGTGTATGTGTGTCTGTGTATGTGTGCCTGTGTATGTGTGTCTATCTGTGTGTCTGTGTATGTGTGCCTGTGTATGTGTGTCTGTGTGCCTGTGTCTGTGTGTCTGTCTGTCTGTGTATGTGTGCCTGTGTATGTGTGTCTGTGTATGTGTGTCTGTCTGTGTGTCTGTGTATGTGTGTGTCTGTGCAGATAGGGAGAGGTCAGGAGACAACTTTTTGGCAATTGGTTCCCCCTGTCCATCATGGCTTCTGGTGTGGAGAACCAGACCAATCCAAGACTTTCTCAGAGACCCTGATGAAAGAACAAAGGGAACACTAAATAGTTCCATGTCCTTGTCCAGGAGTGGACTTGGAAATGCCAGTCTGATGCTGGAGTCAAGGTGGCAGCTTCTGGGGACACAATATTTCCTCTTGGGCTTTGGTTAATTAAGCATCTGTCTGAGGTGTCCCATGTTCCCTTTGCCAAAACTGTCTGATTTAGCTCTCTGCTAAACCTGGCTATTTCCCCCCTGTAAACAGTATACAGGATGCTACACTTCTTAAGAAACCAGTTTAGCCTAAGTATCACTTATGCAAGGCCTTCTGGTCCCAGCCATTGCTTACTGCTCCTCTGCCAATCTCACACTTGACACATTCAGGATCCTTAGACAGGTTCTGGTCATCCTGGGAATCTAATTCAGGTCTTGAGACTCTTGCAACAAGTTCTTTTACCCATGGAGTCATCTTGCTGGCCCACACCTGCTTTTTATGTGGGTGTTAGGTACACAAAACTAGGTCTTTCTGTGTTTATGTGGGTGTTAGGTCACAAAACTAGGTCTTTCTGTCTGCATGGCCAACACTTTACTGGCTGAGCCACCTCTCGTTCCTGATCTTCTGCAGTTTTGAGAACAGCCATGCAGGGCTCGAGAGACGCCGCAGTGGGTAATGAACAAGTATGGGCACCTGAGTCTGAGCCATATTTGTCAGCGGCTGCAGTGCTCCTGTGGCAAGATGGGCAGTACACAGAACACTCCTAGCCTGTCCAGCCTGGCATACACAGTGGAAAGCATCAGACATCGTAAGAGGTGAAGACCAATACCCGAGGTTGTCTTCTGATGCCCACGTTGGGCCATTCACACACAGGTTAAAACAAACCAGCAGTTAGTACTTTGGGTCTTCTCCCAGGGAAGGTGTGTGAGGCCTGGCTGACCTCTGCATGGATTTAAATCCAAGACAGGGCTGGGGTGGGGCTCAGTGGTAGGGAGAACAAAGTCCCCAGTTCAATCTTAAACAAAACTACAAGGCAGACACCAGAGGTAGCACTGATCCTGCTTAGAAGTCCTAAGAACCAACCCTTGGGAAACCCGGTGGCATGTAGCCCTGACCTGGCATCCAGGAGCCGTGAGCGCAGGGTCATGACAGCCTCGCAGGTGCTCTGCTTGAGCTGCCTCTGGATGGCGCTGAACTTGCTGTGGATGACGCCCACCATGCGCTCCATCTCCTTGGAGGACACAGGCCTCACCCTGCTCTGTTCCCGAAGAAGGTTGGTGACATGTGTGGTGAACTCACGACAGGCCTGGGATGGAGAAGGGGCCAGCCTGTGTCTAAGCAGGCCTGGGATGGAGAAGGGGCCAGCCTGTGACTAAGCAGGCCTGGGATGGAGAAGGGGCCAGCCTGTGTCTAAGCAGGCCTGGGATGGAGAAGGGGCCAGCCTGTGTCTAAGCAGGCCTGGGATGGAGAAGGGGCCAGCCTGTGTCTAAGCAGGCCTGGGATGGGAGAAGGGGGCCAGCCTGTGTCTAAGCAGGCCTGGGATGGAGAAGGGGCGAGCCTGTGACTAAGCAGGCCTGGGATGGAGAAGGGGCCAGCCTGTGTCTAAGCAGGCCTGGGATGGAGAAGGGGGGCCAGCCTGTGACTAAGCAGGCCTGGGATGGAGAAGGGGCCAGCCTGTGTCTAAGCAGGCCTGGGATGGAGAAGGGGCCAGCCTGTGTCTAAGCAGGCCTGGGATGGAGAAGGGGCCAGCCTGTGTCTAAGCAGGCCTGGGATAGAGAAGGGGCCAGCCTGTGTCTAAGCAGGCCTGGGATGGGAGAAGGGGGCCAGCCTGTGTCTAAGCAGGCCTGGGATGGAGAAGGGGCCAGCCTGTGACTAAGCAGGCCTGGGATGGAGAAGGGGGGCCAGCCTGTGTCTAAACAGGCCTGGGATGGAGAAGGGGCCAGTCTGTGACTAAGCAGGCCTGGGATGGAGAAGGGGGGCCAGCCTGTGACTAAGCAGCCGGGTGCAGTAAGCTCCACAGCTGACCACATCTGCCACCCCCACAGCCCACACACAGGTCAGTTTCTGAAGAGTGAGGGAAAGGGCTTTCAGCCGTCTCTGCAGTGACAGACTACAGTGGGCTGTCCCTGCTCTGCCACAGAGGAGGGGGTTAGTGTCCACATCCGACTGTGGCCAGTGCACATTCATATGAGAAACTCTTGCGTGCAGAAAGATCACCTGTTCATACTTCTCTAGCTCAGAGTGGTAAATCTGTCGGATCTGGGACAGCTTGGCCCTGTAGTCTGAGTGCTCAATGCTATTGTCATTTGGACAGCCACCTGGTGTTGCTGTGGTGCCTGCTGCTGCTCCTCGTCCTCTCTTCTCTGGCCTGGACACACCCTCAGCCAGCAGCATATTATCCAGCCTCAGGAGCTGAGCATCAGGAGGATCCTCTTCCTCATGCCGGATGCTCATGGCTAGATGAAGAAGACAGGCAGATGTGTTCTCTGCAGAGAAAAGTGGCCAGGACCAAGTGGCACTGGAACCATGGCTGGGCATCACTTAAAAACATTTGAATTATGTATACATGTGCACCTGCGTGTGTGCAGATCTCCTAGGAGTCCAGGCTGGGGCGTCAGATCCCCATACCCAGTGTCACAGGCAGCTGTAAGCTGCCCAGTCAGTGCAGGTGCTGTGAACTCAACTCAGTCTCTGCAAGAGCAGGAAACACTCTAAACCTCCAAACCATCTCTAGCCCCTTTATTACCACACTGGATCAGAGACACCTAGGAACCTACTGGAACACTGACCCAATGTCGTCTTCAGGAGCACAGTCCTGTCATGCAGAGGACGCCAGGACAGTGCAGCACATGTGGCCGGAACCTGACAGCTACGTGAGAACACAGCCAGGGCTGGGTAGGAACGTTGAAGTGCTGGGAGGGGCATTCTGGTGCTGGTGTCAAGACAAGGCAGGTGCAGGACTGGTGAGAGGGCTCAGTGGGTAAAGGAGCTTGCTGCCAAGCATGTTGACTTGAAATCAATCTACATGGTAGAAGGAGAATCAAATCCTGCGACTCTGAGCTACATGTGCCTCTCCCTGCCCTCCTCCAAAGTAAATAGTGTGAGAAAGTATTAGATAAATGGCCTACCACTGGGACTGCACAGTACTGCACTGATGGGCTCTGCTATGTGTCCACGTGTCTGTGTCCTATATGTGTGCACACTTGGGCGTGGTCTCTTATAGTGTAAAAGCAGAGGTAAACGTACATCTGCTCTCTTGCTTCGGGCTCCTGCTTCCGGCTGCTGGACTCTGTTCCTGTTCACGCAGAGGACTATTGTCTAGGACAGCAATCTGTAAGTTTTCTCCTTAAATAAATAGCCCTTTTATTATTCATAATTCTGAAGTGGTGTGGGATTGTTTTGTGAGTTATGTCATCTCTAATGTGTCTGTACATGCATATGTCCCTGTATGTATATGCATGCTTGCATCTGTGTCGGTGTGCACTAGTGTATGTGACCATGTGTCCATGTATGTATGGAGGGCAGCACACCTATAAAGCAGAAAAGGAAAGGCTTCATCAGGTGCTAGTGACCAGGCTTGTGTCTGTATTTCCTACACCACACAACTCTGGTACAGACATACATCCAGGCAAATACTGATACACATAAAATGAAAAATAAGTCAGGTGATGGTGGGCACACCTTTAAACCCAGCACTTGGGGGCAGAGGCAGGCAGATCTATGTGTTCGAGCCCAGCCTGGTCTACAGAGGGAGTCCCAGGACAGCCAAGGCTACACAGAGAAACCCTGTCTCAAAAATCAAACAAACAAAAGTAAATAGGACTAGAGGGAAGACGCAGCTTGCAGAGGTTCAGTTCTCAGCATCCACACTGCAGCTCCAATTCCAGGGGATCCAATGCCCTCTTTTGGTTCCTTTGGGTACCAGGCATGTACAAGGTGCACAGACATACATGTATGCAAATGCCTATCTCTCAACTTTGATGGAGGAAAGTCATTGGTTAAGTAATAAAGAAACTGCTTGGCCTCATAGGTTAAAACATAGGTGGGAGGAGTAAACAGAACAGAATGCTGGGAGGAAGAGGAAGTGAGCTCAGACTTGACAGCTCTGCTCTCTGGAGCAGAGACGCCATGTTCCCCGCTCCCGGGCAGACACATGCGATGAAGCTCCGACCCAGGATGGACGTAGGCTAGAATCTTCCCAGTAAGCGCACCTAATGGTGCTACACAGATGATTAGAAATGGGCTAAATTAATATGTGAGAATTAGCCTAGAAGAGGCTAGATAGAAATGGGCCAAGCAGTGTTTAAAAGAATACAATTTGTGTGTTGTTATTTTGGGGCATAAGCTAGCTAGGCGGCCGGGGTGCTGGGGACGCAGCCCCGCCGTTCTTATTACAACACAACTTAGAGACCTGTGTCCTGTGTCTCTCATTATGACATATCTTGCCTCTGAATGGAAGGACAGCTCCCTGGCCAGTGGGCTGTGGGCATTAGGTCAGGATAATGGAGAAAATGCTTTTCTTGGTGGAGCAGAACTGAGAATCCCTTGCTCTCCTGCTGGCCTTACTCAAGTCCTGGAGGGGGGGGCAATGGTGCCCCCAGCTTTCACTTCCCCCTTACTGTGGCATCATGGCTACCCTGCAGTTGTCAGCTCACAGGAGGCTTCAACACTTTCTTTGCTTGAGTACAAATCTGTCATACCCCCTGCCACACTATAACTGAAAGTATGCCCAGTTCAGCTACCCGAGCCTGTGGCTTGATGGCATGCCCAGCAAGAATGTGTGGCTCAGGCTGAGCCTGCCACCCTCCAGGGGCTACCTGCATGTGAGCCACCAAAAGTCCGGGGTATATAGGGTGAAGACAAGGGTTACAGTGTTCAGGCACACTGATCTGTCCCCATGGGAACTGTCTGATGCACAGGGGTGCCCTGCTGACAAGCCCATGCCTGCACCACCTGGTTCCTCCTTCAGCTAAGTGGGCGAAAGGAGCATCAGAAGTGACAGCTTGTCAAGACTACAGCCATGAAAAAGTATCTTCGTGTTTCTGAGTCTCATTTAGCTCAGGCTCACTATGTAGACCAGGCTGACCTTGAACTCCCAAATCTGCCTGCTTCTCCCATTTTGGGATTACTCCACACTTGGTTATTTTTGAGACAGGGCCTTGGTTTGTAGCCCAGGTCAGTCTTGAACTAACTCTCTTTTTCTTAGAGACAGAGTATCTCTATTATGTAGCTTTGGTTGTCCTGGAGCTCAGTATGTACACCAGGCTGGCCTCACACTCACAGAGGTCCACCTGCCTCTGTCTCCCGAGCGCTGGGATTAAAGGCGCACCTGGCCAGTCTTGAACTCTTTATTCTCCTGCTTCCACCTCCCCAGGGCAGGGATCAGGTATGAATATCTATATGACACAAGTGTCTCACAGAGTCTAGGCTGGTCTCCTTGAATGTGCTATGTAGACAACATTGAACTCTTTTTGTTGTTGTTGTTGGTTTTGTGTTTTTGTTTTTGTTTTTTTTTTTTTAAGACAAGGTTTTCCTGTGTAGCCAGGGCTGTTCTGGAACCCACTCTGTAGACCAGGCTGGCCTTGAACTCTAGAGATTTGCCTGCCTCTGCCTCTCAAATGCTGGGCCAGTCTTGAACTCTTGATTCCCCGAGGGCTGGATGACTGTGTGCCAGCATACAAGGCTCCTGAGTGCCAAGCAAGCATTCTACCAGCCGAGCTCCAGCTCCAGTCCAGAAGCCTGGTCCACACAGTGAGACTCTGATGGCCAGGGTTGTATAAGGAGATCCAGCTCAAAACAATATCAAAACTACAAGGTGTGGGGGCTGGAGAGATGGCTCAGAGGTTAAGAGCACTGGCTGCTCTTCCAGAGGTCCTGAGTTCAATTCCCAGCAACCACATGGTGGCTCACAACCATCTGTACTGAAATCTCATGCCCTCCTCTGGCATGCGGGCATACATCGAGGGAGAATGTTGTATACATAATAAATAAATCTTTAAAAAAAAAACTACAAGGTGATGGTGCCTCGAAGGCAGAGGCCAGCCTGGTCTACAGAGTGAGTTCCAGGACATCCAGGGCTACAGAGAAAAACCTTGTAATTAATTATACAAATAAGCACCAAGCCCCAGAGGCTATATATCTGAAAGCATGGTGACAGGGACAATTTGTTGTGGGCAGTGGGCAGTCCACAAAGGGAGCAGAGGGCATGGGTGGCACGGCCTCAGAACTCAGTGTTGATGGCTGGCTGGCTGTTAGGGACAAGGTGAAATGGGTCAGCAGGACACACTTGGAGAACATTAAAGAGCATGTGGCTGTCAACTGTACCCAGAGGACAGCCATGTGGCCATGTGTGGGGTAGAATGGTAAGTCCTCTCAGCTCACAAGCCTTGGGGCTCATGTGCATGTCGGACCACCACAGAACACTGAAGCAGCAGCGCCACTGGCAGTGCAGGGCGATCTGCTTGAAGCCAAGGTGCTGTCACCAAGAAGATGTAGGTCAGGGGCCTAAGAAAGCCTACCTTCCATGCTCCCATTTGCTGGGACCCACATTATCTGCTCCTCAGAATTAGATAAGAAACAGACTGGAGGAGCTGAGGAGATGGCATGCTTCGAAAACATGAGGACATGAATTTGATTCCCAACAACTACATAAAAAACCCAAGTACCATCCCTGCAATTCAAGCGCAGGAGAGACAGGAAGGGCCTGCTGGCCAGCCAGTCTAGTCCAGTTAGGGAGCTCCAGTTCCAATGAGAGACTGCCTCAAACTATAAAACGGAGAGTAATAGAAAAAGACATTGTGACATTAACCTTTGGCTTCCACATATAACATGTGTACATACGTACTTACACGCCGCATGCACACACACCAGACAGGAAGGAAAGCTGTGTAACACTTACATTGAGGGTGGTGGAATGCCCACAGATACTCCTGAGATCTATGTTCTGAGAGGCCCCACAGAAGCAGCAAAGCTCCAACAGCAATGACATGTACATCCCCATGACCATCCCCAATGGCTCTCTGCACACAGGTGCAGCTGGGCTGAGAGAGGATGTGAGGTAGAGAACCTTCTGGCAGTAAAGAAGAATGCCTTCAGAGGTGGAGAGATAATAGTCATAGGCCAGCTCTAAGGGCTCCCACTTCCCACATCAACATGAGTGACACCTGTAGCCAACCCTGACACAACAGGACTGAGACACACTGAGATGTCCCCGCCTTGCTTTGGGGACAACTCTTTTAGTGCCAGGGCCCAGCCTGATAACTACAGCTCTCACCCCTCAGTGAAGAGAGAGCGTTATAAAAAGCTGGTCAAATGAAGAGAACACTGATCAAAAGGTGTCCAGCCCAGCTGACACAGAACCCCACACTGAAGAACAAGGGTAGATTGTAAGAGCCAGGAGACCAGGAAGCCTTCCTGTAGAATGTGTGTCCTACAAAGAACAGGGAAACCACACCTATGAGACCATGATAATATGGCTGCTTAAACAGGACTTTACCAATAGATGTGTTAACGTGTGGAGAAATCCCACAGGATCCCAACCCTAGATGAAGAACTACACGCAGTCAACTGTTGAGAGATAGGTAGACAAACAGACAATCTCTCTCTCTCTCTCTCTCTCTCTCTCTCTCTCTAATTTAAAAGACATCATGAATTTGAGAGGGGGAGGAGGAGTGCATAGGAAGGGTGGAGAAGAGGGAGGAGAAAATGATGAAATTGCATTCTAATTTTAAAACTTAAAATTTTTTTCCTGAGACAGGGTTTCTCTGTGTAACCCTGGCTGTCCTGGATTTTGCTCTGTAGACCAGGCTAGCCTCAAACTCACAGAGATCACAAAGATCCACCTCCCAAGTGCTGGGATTAAAGGCGTGTGCGACCACCACCTGGCTTGGTTCAGGCTGTTGTGTCTGAGCACAGAGCCCACAGTTGGCAATGCTGATTTGGGAAGGGTAGACATGAGGAAGTGTAAGCAGCTGCTTCACACTCCCTCTCTACAGCCCAGAGCCACCGCTGCCACCAAGCTTTTCCACGATAGACTGTGTCCCCTTAAAACAGGTCAAACGTGGTCCAGTCATTCCCAGTCACTGTGGAGGATATGTCTCACCAAGAAAATGAGAAACTCCAGTGCCTACTGTAAAAAACCATACTATTCTGGATGACAGAATAGACATTGCCTGCCTGAACTGACCATAGGACTGTGCTGCCCTGCTTGGCTTTTCCTTTGCCCATGTATGTGTATATAGTATATGTACAATGTGTGTCGGTACACTTTCATCTGTGTGTGTAGATCCATGGTTAGCATCAATACTTTCCTTGATATATGTGGATTGGTGTTTTACCTACACATATGTCTATGTACATGAGATCTGCCTGCATGCAAGGTGACAAGTCAGCTTCATATCCCTTGGAACTGGAGTCAGATGGTTGTGGGTTACCCCATGGGTGTTGGGAATTGAAACTGGGTCCTCTGTAAGAGCTCTTGACTGCTGAGCCATCTCTGCAGCCCCTCCCAATTACATACTGTGTCATCTCTGTAGCCCTTCCCCTTACAGACTGAGTTAAGGCCTCTCATTTGAACCCAGAACTCGTTGATCTGACTAGTCTGGACAGACAGCTTGACTCTAGACCCTGTACTAGGGTTACAGTCAGCTTCCAGGCCCACCTCACATCTACATAGGTCTGGAAACCTGAACTCCAGTCCTCATGCTCGCCTGGCAAGTCACTTAACCATTAAGCTATGTCCCTCAACCACACCTTTTAACATTTGTTTGCTTTCTGAGACAGGACCTCACGTTTCTGACTAGCCTAGAACTTAAGCTGTAACTTCTGGTCTTCTTCCTCTCTCAGGTGCTGGAGTGCCTCCCTTTTTATTATTGTTACTTTTTAAATTTAATTTATTTTAATTATACTTCTTTATTTGTAAGATGGGGCATGCCATCATCACTGGACCCTCACCGAAGCTCCTCTCAGCTTCATGCTGTTGTCCCGAGTCATGGAGATTCTGGGGTTTTGTTCCACAGGACCAGTCCCTTCACACACACCAGCAGGTCAAAGATGGGGTAGATATTAGAGTGAGCCAACCCAAGGCCCAGGATGTGGGTCTGGGTGGTAGCTGAGCTGGTTGATCTGGGCCACTGGGATGGTCCCCATCAGGAGAGGGGCAGGGCCAGCTCTCCTGGGCCCATGCCATCAGGGCCAGCTCTCCCACACCCATGGTGTAGGGCGGGGCCAGCTCTCCTGAGTTTGGTGTGGGCATGGGCGGGGCCAGCTCTCCTGAGTTTGGTGTGGGCATGGGCGGGACCAGCTTTCTTGAGTTTGGTGTGGGCATGGGCGGGGCAGTTCTCCTGCTGCAGTGACCAGTGAGGGGCCGGACCAGCTCTTCCAGGGCCAATGAAAAGTGGAGCTGGCTCAGCATGGCCCTTGGATTTCAACATGCAATGAAAAGTGGGGCTGGCCCCTGTGGCAACAGGGCCATGGACATCATCACAGACCCTAACTACAGCAGGACCACAGACTCAGACACGGCCCTTGGCAGCAGCCCGGGCCTGAATATCACTATGGTTCCAGTGTCAGAAAGGCCTTGGACACCAATGTGGTCTCGGGAGGCTGTCCAGATCCCAGGCACCTGCGCAGCTCTTGGTGATAACAGGAGCCATGAACACCAGCTCAGACCCTGGCTGCTGCTGGGCTATGGATCCAGATTTGGCCTATGCAGCAGCCTGGGCCTGGATGACATCATGGCCCTGTGTACCTTCTTAAACACAAGTATTTGCAGAGGCAGAAGACTTCCATGGGGATAACTTTGGACACTTGAATTAGGATAAAATTCTGATGTTTGAATTTTGGAAGGATGGCAGAACCATGTGCTGTGAGGGGCAGACTGGGGCAGCATATGAGGCTGGAGCCAGAGTCCTGGAGCAGCCTACCTGTCTTTTCCTTGATCTCGCAGAGCACGCTGAAGAGGGCAGACTTCATCCGATGGCAGTTTAGAGCATGCTTTCTGAAAGGCAGCAGAGGCATGGTGAGAAAGTTAGCTCATGGGGAGCAGGGACTTCCTTCCCAAGAAACTAGGCCCTGCCAGCCAATGTGGCATTGGTCACACCCTGCAAAGACAGGGCGAAGATGCCACATCATTTTGACTTTTGCAGCATTAAAATAGGAATGTGCAGTCTGTGATGGGGACTTTGATTGTCAACTTGAATGGATCAAGAAACGTTTGGAGTTGGGCATGGTGGCATGAGCCTTTAATTCCAGTCCTATGGAGGCAAAGACTGGTGGATCTCCTAGTTCACAGTCTGCCTAGTTTACATAGAGAGTTCCAAGCTAGCCAGGGTTACAACAGAAATGTTAGGAATGGCTTTCTGTGAGACTGAGGTCAGGCAAGCTAGGGCTGCACAGTGAGACCTTGTCTCAACAAACACAGTCGGAAAGATGCCATGATGCACACCGGTCACCCAGCACTTCAGTGTGAGGAGGACGAGAAGGTCAGAGTCAGTCTCAGCTATACAGTGAGCACTGAGTTTGAGGCTAGCCTGGGGTCCAGGAGATTCTGCCCCAAACAATGTAAAGACTCCATAGAAAACAAGACAGCAGAGATGTAAAGGCCATTGCTGTGCAACCTGACAACCTCAGTGTCATCCCTAGAAACCATGAGGAGAGGAGAGAACTGACTCCTGCATTTGTCCTCTGTCCTCCATGCACAGCGGCACGCCCACACTCGTGCTCACACAGAGAGAAAAATAAAATTAAACAAATAAACAAAAACACAAAAGGGGATGGTGGGAAGGCTCCTTGGGCAAGAGTGCTCGCTGGAGATCTGGATTCAATCCCTAGAGCCCACATGATGGCAGGAGCACCTGCCCATGCACACGAAATAAATGTCCTTTAAAAATGCATCTTAAGATAGCCTGCCTGCAGCAAGCAGGTTGGGCCCTTTGTTTGCGAGCTAACCAAGCAGCACAGAGTTTCGATCTGGGAACCGAGTGAAACATCATTGTGGTGAGTGAGTGCTGCGGCAGCCGGGAACAGGGAACTCAGACGTACCTCAGCCTGCCTACACTTCCTGGTCATCCTACAGGGGCTATACTGCCCAATACCTCCTCTCTTTTCCTATCCCATCCAGCTTACATCCAGATCCCCCCACCCCCTGTCTCCCTCCCTCCCTCCCTTCTTTGGCGGCATAGCACCTCCCAGCTCAGCCTGCTTGGGCCCTGGGACCGAACCCGAAGCTGAGGGCAAAGGGGAGGGCGGTAGCTCCTTTGTCTCCATAGCCTGCCTGCAGCAAGAAGGGTGGGCCCTTTGTTTGCAAGCTAACCAAGCAGCACGGAGATCCGATCTGGACACCAGGAGAAACATCACTGGGGAGTGACATCACTGGGAAGGTACATCAGTGGGCAAGAAGACCTGATCCTGTAAAAGAAGATCCATAGGGGAGTACTGGGAGGAAGAGATGGGCAGACGCCAATGCAAGAATTTACCCAACAATCTGAAAAACAACACGAAACCACCAGAAGCCAGCGACCTCACAACAGGAGGACATGAACACCTTAATCAAGAAGAAGTAGAAAAAACTGACTTCATGAAAGTGATTGACACCCTTAAACAGCATATAAAAAAACGCCCTTATAGAAATGGATGAGAAGTATAACAGAAAGTTCAAGGAATTGAGTAAATCAGTGAATGATACCCTAGGAAACCAAGGAAAAACAATCAAGCAGATAATGGAAACAGTTCATGACTTGAAAACTGAAATGGAGGCAAAGAAGAAAACACAAACAGAGGGCCGGCTGGACATGGAAAATCTAGGTAAACGAATAGAGACTACAGAAACAAGCATAACCAGCAGAATACAAGAGATAGAAGAAAGAATCTCAGATTCTGAGGATAACATAGAGAAAATAAACGCACTGATCAAAGAAAACAGCAAGTCCAACAAACTCTCATCACAAAACATTCAGGAAATATGGGACACAATAAAAAGACCAAACCTAAGAATAATTGGAGTAGAAGAAGGAGAAGAAGTGCAGCTCAACGGTCCAGAAAATATACTTAATAAAATTATAGAAGAAAACTTTCCCAACCTGAAGAAAGATGTACCTATGAAGGTTCAAGAAGCATACAGAACACCAAATAGGCTGGATCAAAAAAAAATCCCCTCGCCATATAATAATCAAAACACAAAATATACAGAATAAAGAAAGAATATTAAGAGCCGCAAAGGAAAAAGGCCAAGTTACTTATAAAGGTAAACCTATCAGACTTACACCTGAGTTCTCTATGGAAACCATGAAAGCCAGAAGGACCTGGATAGATGTACTGCAAAAACTAAGAGACCATGGATGCAAGCCCAGACTACTATATCCAGCCAAGCTTTCGTTCACTATAAATGGAGAAAACAAAATTTTCCAGGATAAAAACAAATTTAAACAATACGTAGCCACAAATCCAGCCTTACAGAAAATAATAGAAGGAAAATCACTAATCAAGGAGTCCAACAATGACCACAATAACTCAGACATCTAGAGACCCTTCACCAGTGCAACTCAAAGAAGGGAAACACACAAACCCTACTACTAAAAAAGTGACCGGAGTTAACAACCACTGGTCATTAATATCACTTAATGTCAATGGGTTCAACTCACCTATAAAAAGGCACAGGCTAAGAGATTGGATACGAAAACAGGATCCAACATTCTGCTGTCTACAAGAAACACACCTCAACCACAAAGACAGGCACCTACTCAGAGTAAAGGGCTGGGAAAAGGCTTATCAAGCAAATGGACCTAAGAAACAAGCAGGTGTGGCCATACTAATTTCTAACAAAGTTGACTTCAAACTTAAATCAATCAGAAGAGATGGAGAGGGACATTTTATACTCATAACAGGAACAATTCATCAGGAAGAAGTCTCAATCCTGAATATCTATGCCCCTAATATAAAAGCACCCACGTACGTAAAAGAAACATTACTAAAACTCAAGGCAGCCATCAAACCGCACACACTAATAGTAGGAGACTTCAACACTCCTCTCTCACCAATGGACAGGTCAATCAGACAGAAACCTAACAGAGAAATTAGAGAATTAATGGAGGTAATGAAGCAAATGGACTTAACAGACATCTATAGATTATTCCACACAAAGAGGAAAGAATATACCTTCTTCTTTGCAGCTCATGGAACCTTCTCAAAAACTGACCACATACTCGGTAACAAAGCTAACTTACACAGTTACAAAAAAATATTAGTAACCACCTGTGTCTTATCAGATCACCATGGATTAAAGTTAGAATTCAACAACAATGCTACCCCCAGAAAGCCTACAAACTCATGGAAACTGAACAGTCAACTACTGAACCATACCTGGATTAAGGAAGAAATAAAAAAAGAAATTAAAGTCTTCCTCGAATTCAATGAAAATAAAGAAACAACATACTTATGGGACACTATGAAAGCAGTCCTAAGAGGAAAGTTCACAGCACTAAGTGCCCACTTAAAGAAAATAGAGAAAGCACATATTGGAGACTTAACAGCCCACCTGAAAGCTCTAGAAAATAAAGAAGCAGACTCACATAGGAGGAGTAGAAGACTGGAAATAATCAAACTGAGGGCTGAAATCAACAAAATAGAAACACAGAAAACAATCCAAAGAATCAATGAAACAAAAAGCTGGTTCCTGGAGAAAATCAACAAGATTGATAAACCCCTATCCAAACTAATCAAACGACAGAGAGAGAATACGCAAATTAATAAGATCAGAAATGAAAAGGGGGACATAACCACAGACACAGAGGAAATTCAGAGAATCATTAGATCTTACTACAAAAGCCTGTATGCCACGAAACTGGAAAATGTAAAAGAAATGGACACTTTTTTAGATAAATACCATTTACCAAAATTAAACCAGGACCAGGTGAACAATCTAAACAGACCTGTCAGTCACGAAGAATTAGAAGCTGTTATCAAAAACCTCCCTACCAAAAAAAGCCCAGGACCAGATGGTTTCAATGCGGAATTCTACCAGAACTTCCAAGAAGACCTCATACATATACTCCTTAATGTATTCCACAATATAGAAACAGAAGGGTCATTACCAAATTCCTTTTATGAAGCTACAGTTACTCTGATACCAAAACCACACAAAGACTCAACCAGGAAAGAGAATTACAGGCCAATCTCACTCATGAATATCGACGCAAAAATCCTCAACAAAATACTGGCAAACCGAATCCAAGAACACATCTGAAAAATTATCCATTATGATCAAGTAGGCTTCATTCCTGAGATGCAGGGCTGGTTCAACATACGAAAATCTATCAATGTAATCCAGCATATAAATAAACTGAAAGAAAAAAACGATATGATCATTTCATTAGATGCTGAAAAAGCATTTGACAAAATTCAACATCCATTTATGTTAAAAGTCTTGGAGAGATTAGGGATATAAGGGTCATACCTAAATATAATAAAAGCTATATACAGCAAGCCGACAGCTAACATCAAATTAAACGGAGAGAAACTCAAAGCCATCCCGCTTAACTCAGGAACACGACAAGGCTGTCCACTCTTGCCATACCTCTTCAATATAGTGCTTGAAGTTCTAGCAATAGCAATAAGACAACATAATGGGATCAAGGGGATTCGAATTGGAAAGGAAGAAGCTAAACTTTTGTTATTTGCAGATGATATGATAGTGTACATAAGCGACCCCCAAAACTCCTCCAAAGAACTTTTACAGCTGATAAACAGCTTTAGTAATGTGGCAGGATACAAGATCAACTCCAAAAAATCAGTCGCCCTCTTATACACAAAGGATATGGAAGCAGAGAGGGAAATCAGAGAAGCTTCACCATTCACGACAGCCACAAGCAGCATAAAATATCTTGGGGTAAATCTAACCAAGGAAGTGAAAGATCTATTTGACAAGAACTTTAAGGCATTGAAGAAAGAAATTGAAGAGGATACCAAAAAATGGATGGACCTCCCTTGCTCTTGGATTGGGAG